TAAGCTCTTAGCCAAGCTATTTTTGCAATAGGTTTTGAGCTCTTTCCAAAGAGCACTAGTCCTGGGTTCAAAAATAGCCCACCTCTGCACCTATGACCTCTCACTTGGATAACTTGGAAGGTGGCTAAACTCTTCATCCCAGACACCTTTCTACACTTGCTCAACCTCCCCTCTCTCAAGGGTTGGGGGGAACAATCAATGATCATCTTTCCATCAACAGTTGATGTTCACTGGGAAGGGAAACAAAACTGGTGTTGGAGTGACCCATGATTGCTTTTCTTTATTCTTCCTACATTAAATCTATAAGGACAACACCATGCACTAGCCTCACTATTGAGGCAGCATAAGACGGCAATTCATTCTTGCATCCTTTTCTCCTGACTGAAAGGTTGGAGGATTAACACAGCCATGAAGAAGAATCCTAAGCAATGCCATCAAACTTAACTCCTCCCTCGCTTGCTTATTCTTGTCAATTCTTTTCTCTCATTGTTGTTGGGCTGGAAATTAATACTATGCCAAAATCTGTCCTCCAATTTTTATGAAGTCTTTCTCTTCCTGCCAAAGATGCTGCTGTGCTCCTACCTTCTTCTCAGGAAGCTTCTAACCTTTTTTATATTTCTTTTGATAATATTTTTGAGGCAATTTTATTGTAGCAAGCTTATGAAGGATACTGCCCTTGGGTCTCTCTGTTACATCTGTCTCTGCTATTCTCAGCCACCCTGGCTATCCTTGTTTTCTGATCTGAAAGAGTGTCATGAAAGAAGTTCCTTAATAAGATTTTTTTCCCCCTTGGGATCTGAAGTGTGGGAAGTCAAGGAGGTTGCAGAGCAATGGAAGGAAAAAAATGTACTATGAAAAATTAGTCACTCACATATATCTTTAGGGTACCCATGCCAGAACCCTACACCTGATCCCTGACAATTTTACTGATATGTTCTTTGAAAACAAAGCATTGTAACAAATTTTGTTTCCATTAAATTGAATGAGAATAATAAAAAAGCAGAAGAAAATTTGAATGTGGCACTGTTGGAAACTTAGCACAAGAGTTAATTTTGGCCAGTTTTTGCTTTTGTGGTTTTCAGGATGAAATGCAACTAAGATCTCAAAAGAAAAAAAGCTCCAGAACAAATCTTGACTATCCATAAATTTGCTTCTTTCTTGCATTACTGAAAATAATGATTGTCAATGGTTTGACAATTGCTAACATTTACGAATAGGAAATTGTGATCCTGAGACTAGCTTTGTGGTGAAACATTTTACAGATCTCTCTCCAACTGTGATAAAATTACAGAGAACTATCTTTTACATTCCTCTCAGGGGTTTGTGTAATATTTTTGTTTAAAAAAATCAACACCAAAGGAAATTCAGTACTTTTCCTTAATTGATTCATGCTTGTAAAAACAAATGTGCCCATATTTGCTTATTTTGCACAATTCATTCACCATGACCAAGAAGCTGGAGTGCTTTCCTTATGTGCGGAAGGCTTTTAGTTTAAAGATAGCTGGATGGGGCAATCGCAACCATGTGATCAAAGCCCTGCCCTTTTTACAGGCAGCACAACAAGGAAGGGCCTCAATTACAGGGTTGGGGCTGCCATCTTGACTTTCTTTCATATCCCCCCCGGACACCCCTGTCCATGGTACTGAAGAAATCGGGTAAGTGCTATTCCCTCTCCCTCTCTCTCTCTGTCTAATATCAGAACCTGGAAAACTGAGGATAGAAACAAGTTTCTGTATATAGCACAAAGTTATAACTTTATTCAGAAGTGAAAACGACTCAACAATCCAAATGAATGCCATAGTTTTGTAATACAGCATACCAGAAGTGTATCGTATGGATATCTATCTAGCAGTTTTCCAGTGGAGGGAACCTAATCTTATGAATCAAAAGACATTGTTGAGCAATTCCATATTTCTTCTATTCAATCATTTTTTTTGAAGAAGAAAGAAAGAAAGAAAGAAAGAAAGAAAGAGAGAGAGAGAGAGAGAGAGAGAGAGAG